CGAAATGTGTGAAGCCAATTTACAAACAAATATTGTAGAACCCGAGATAGAACCTCATCCTAGTTTTACTCATAAAGACCATAATGAAAAAAGGCCAATGATTTGTGCTCAAAAAGTTATTGATCAATTTTTGGGTGATATTCATTATTATATTTATCAAATAATACCTAAATATGTTCAAAAACTTATATGCTATTTAGATCAACTTGTTAATTTTTGCATAGTTCACCTATTAAGATCATAAATCAGATGTTTTCTATTTTTTATTGACATTTTTATACCTTTTATTGCAAGAAAAATGTAAGAATTTAAAAAGTTATGACTCATGTTAATTTTTAATTTTAAGATACACACTGCACCTTTATTTTTGTTTTGTTTTAGATATTCCCGGGTATGGAGATTTTTGGAATGTGCATAAATGTGTTTCTTAATTAGGGTGAGTTTCAAAGCCCACCTGTATTGAAGCTGGATGCTTATTGTAACCGAAATAGGCATTACAACTATTCTAGATTGAAATAGATGGAAAAAGGCCTTAAAGGGACAATAAGTATAAGAATATTAGAATTAGAATGATTTGTTCTTGGATTAATAAGGGATATTTAAAACATTAAAACAATTGTGTTTATACATTAATTACTTTTACTTTTTATAAAAACTATATCCGGTTTTTTTAATAATAAAAACATTGTCATGTGCTATGCTGGTTATCATATTATATTTTTATTTTTCAGTAATTTAGTGTGTGATATAGTGCTTGTTATGTTCAAAATATGCAGTTAGAAGATAATGAGACACATGTAATTACATGGTAATTCTAAATAAATTAAACTTGTTAAAAATGTGTTTTATTTTTCAATTTCAACTAATTTTATTTTTCAGTTAAAACAAGTGACATTTTCCATTTTTCAACATTTACCTACAACAAAAATTGACTAAACTTATTGTTTGTTCAGTAGTTGTAAGTAAAAGTTGTCAAATAGGAAAATGTTACTTTAAATTGCTTCAAATATCTAAATTATCAAGCCCGCCAATTTTTAAATCGCTTTAATTAGTAGTGTTCTACTTTATCGACTGAAACTGACAGGTGTAGTTCAACCGTAAGCGCTTAGCGCGCTACTATCGAGGACAAGCAAACTTGTTACCAACTATTTACATGGAATCCGACCCCCGTGGTTTCATATCCCAAAGAATAGGATAACCACTAACGACTTCAATTAATTGTTCGTCCTCAGTGGCACTAAAACAAATTTGTTGTTTTTGTAAAGTAATTTTGTTGCAAATTTGGAGCACATTCCTTTTAAAACGCAGCGTACGACTGAATAGACTGCTCTCCGAGCAATCGTCCCGTTGCGTCTACCGTATTACGCGACGCAAGTCGTTTTTGCGCCCTGTAGGAAAATGACTCCATTTGATTTTCATTAGACATGTCCTCAGCGTTTTACGCCGACCGAATTACGTTCTACGCCCCGTAAAATGTGCGTTGCTAGGAAAACCCGGCTTAAGTAAAAGACTGTATCGGCAATTCCATGAGGTTTTTAATGTCAAGAAACCTTTGTTTTAAATTAGAACTTTGTTTTTATAACAATGTCCGGTTGAATTATTAAACAAATTATGCAATATTCTATTACTTAACTTGCAAAATTATACATTTTGTTCTGAATTATTTACTTCGAAAATTATGATTTTGGTTATACCGATCATCACGAAAAAATTTAATAAAATAATTTTATTTATATTTAATAATCATCGATTGGGCTGGAGAATAATTAAATTAAATCTTTTTTTTCATGTTTATTTTATTTTATAATTTGGTAAAATTCATAAATTATTTTAAAATTAGTTATTTTGTTAGCTAAAAAGGTTTTTGGATAAAAACAGAGTGAAATATAATCGCTCAAACTGTTAATATATAATATCTAAATAAAAATTCAATACTTTTATGTATAAAACAAATTAACAAGCAATTATTTTCAAAAATAGTTTTCTTTTTGTATATAAAATATAAATATTTGTAAAATTATATTTGAAATTTCATTAATTAAAAATTTATCAATTAATTAATCTTAATTATTGCTTTTATATCTATTTAAAAAATGGATGTTTAAAAAATATATTTGGAATTAATTTGTTGTACACATTTTACGCCAATAATACCATATTTTTTGATGGTTACCCCAATGGTTTAAATATTAATACGAAAAGTGTAGAAATGCTACGCCGAACCAAACAAGTTGAACCAGGTGTTTAAATTAAAGACGATTTGAAATCTCTTTTAAAACCACATACATTTTTATAAAATAAAAGCAATAAGAACATCTTTATTACCATGGTCTTTAATATGTCCTTACGAGAAGGCAATTTTCCAAGTAATTGGAAGATATCTAAAATATGTCCAATCTTTAAGAAAGGATCCAAATCTATCATAGAAAACTACAGACCTATATCCATCCTTAGCAATTTTGGAAAAGTTTTCGAAAATGTCATTTATGAAATACTTTTCGCTCATGTAAAATCGATTATATCTACGGCACAGCACGGCTTTTTTCCAGGCAGATCCACAGAGACCAATCTGATATGCTTTACACAATATGTTGCGCAAAACCTTGATAGGGGTGGCCAGGTTGAAGCTATATATACTGACTTCTCCAAGGCCTTTGATCGCCTCGATCATAGCATACTTTTGAACAAGCTTTCCATTGTTGGACTCACTACGTCTTTTCTGCGTTTCTTTGAATCATATTTAAGTAAAGTTGAATACCATGGTTTTCAGTTAATTTGTATAAAAGCTTCTTCCGGTGTCCCTCAAGGTTCAGTTCTAGGACCACTTTTATTTTCCATTTTGGTAAATGACATTAAAACCTATCATGTAATACTCTACTCTATGCCGATGATTTAAAATTGTTTAAATCAATCTCTAGTATTGATGACTGTTTGATTATGCAGGAGAACCTAAATAAATTGAACCTTTGGTGTAATTCTAACAACTTACCACTAAACATATCTAAGTGCAATTCTATCAGCTTCACTCGCAAACTAAATCCGATTGAGTATAATTTCACTGTCAACAATATTACCATCAATAAATGTCTTTCTTTTAGAGATCTTGGTGTTCTTTTCGACGCTGTTAAACTTTATTGAACATGTCAATACTATTCAAAAAGAAGCATACAGAAATTTGGGTTTTGTCATTCGAAATAGACGCAGTTCTCTGAGCCTAACACTTTAAAAACTATTTTTAACGCTTTTGTACGTAGTAAGCTAGAATATGCGTCCATTGTTTGGAGTCCTGGATATGAAGTATATAGCCAAGCATTAGAAAAAATTCAGCGAAAATTTGTTAAATATTTGTGGTGCAAGCTAGATGGCGTCTACCCTACTCGCAATATTCCGCAAACCATCTTGCTGAATAGATTTGATATCCTTGAATTACGTACTCGCAGGAAATGTTATTCTATCTGCATTCTTTACAAATTATTAAATTTTAAAATTGACTGTCCCGAACTACTTCGTCAACTAATGTTTAATGTTCCTAGTATCAGAACTCGCTCCCCTTTTTATTTCTATTTTCAGACACCCAGGACAAATATTTTAAAATTTTCTCCAATGTATTTTATGTATCAAAATTTTTGTGAACTTCAACATCATGTTGATTTATTTTCTATTTCAATTAAAGAAATAAAACGCTTAATTGTGGACTGAGTTAATTATTATAAGACAACGTAATTTTTTCTCCTGACGGAGTTTTTTTTTGCGTTTTCTTATGATGGTTAAAAACGTTTATTAAACTATTTTTTGTTTACATATATTTATGCTATTATTAGTATTTAATATTTTGTTATTATTTTTGTAATGTAAATTATACTGTAATTGTAATTATTTTTGTGCCCATCCTGTAATTGGTTTTATACTGTTGGATGGTGTAACCCAAATAAATAAATAAATCATATTTGATTTAAAAATTCAATAAAGTTGACATAGAAACGTTGCAAGCAGATGAAGATGCAGATGCTCTAATTATACAATGTGCAAAAAAAGTATTCCAATCAAACAATGTAGTTGTAGTTGGCTAAGACGTATTCTTCTTATAATTTTGTCACTTTTGCCGGATGAGTATCAAAATGTATATTTCATCAAACTAGTTATAGGCCGAATAGCATCAAAATTGATTATTTGAAATAGTTTTAATTTTCCGAAACAACGTCAGTACCTTGGGTTACATGCGTTCAGCGTTCCTTCATTTGGGAAAAAAAATTGTCAAATTTATATATTTTATAATCAAAATCTTATATGGATACGTTTTTACGTGATAATGCAACTAAAAATGAAATAGAATCTATATCAGAATACATTTTATCCATTTTTTATGGTGCAAAGATTAATAGTATGGGGTGCTATTTGTAACAAAACTGCTCTAGAAATGAAGTCTGTAGGAGACAAACACCTATATGCATAGTCGATCGCCAGCGATTCGCCTGAGATTCATCTTGGCGTATCACCAACGATCCGCTGGCGAAAGCCTTGCTGGAGATTGTCACCGGCATCTTATTTCTCGCAAGTTTTCATGTTCTTTATAAGTTTATTTTTGACTTATTCTGAAAGAAAAAAATATATACGTGTAGGTAGAGGTTAAGTCTATGCTCCTCCGAAACCAGTTTTTCAAAATTCTATTTAGTTTTTTCTAAAAAAAATTGATAAAATGGGTAAAAAAAGTCGAGTTTTGTACTTTTTTTTTTATAAAAATCTGAATCAAATTTTGAAAAAATGTCTCCAGAGAAGCACAGATTTAACCTTTACCTATTCGTACATATTTTTTTCTTTTAGAAAAAGTCAAAAATAAACTTTAAAAGTAAATACTCCTCTTAAATATTAAAACTTTTTTATATTTTCTATGTTAATGAATAAAATAAATATAAATAAAACCTAAATCATCGTTGGCCTTTAATATAACTAAACGTCAGTTAATTAACGCTTCACAATAAATCTTTAAAATTTGTACTTACCTTGCTTAAGTTAAATCGCTTCAATCAATCCTGCGTGAGTTAATACAGTCACCGAAACGTAATTTGTACAACCGAAACACCTTGTATTGTATTATTTGCAGTATTGGTCTCGCACACAAACTAGTTAATCCGCGTAAAAAGTTTTGATTCTTAAGAATTGTGTTTAATGTATGCAGAGATAAAGAGAAGGAGAAGCAAACAGCAAGGACGAATTTCAAAAATATTCTAGTTTCGGTCTTTGGAATAAATCAATCAAGGATATTCGTTTCAAGTCGACATGCATTTATAGGGTGATTCCTCGATTATTTTTTTTTTAATTTAACTTAACAAGTAGTTAAGTAAATTGTTTAAACAAATATATACAATAATATATTAAATAAACAATACGGTTTTAAAAAGGGTGAATCTATAGATGATTTTGCTCGCTTATCAATAATATTTATGAAACTTTTGATAAAAAATTGTAGTGCAAATGATATTTATGCAATAGTGTTCCATATCGTAGTTTTTTTTTTTGAGTTAATCTTTAAATATATATAAAATTGTTTGTTCTGATTGACTGACTGACTGATCTTTCAACGCACGGCCAAAAATACCACTCGTAGATATCTGAAATTTGGAATATTGGTTTACTTTATTCTAAGAAAAGATTTTTTTAAATGTCAACTCTAAACGAAAGAAATGGGAAAAAATGGAGGAAACATTTATATGAAAGTCTCTGTTCTTTGAAGTTAGAAACATAAAAATTTTAAATGCAACTGTTAAGCATAAAAAATAATGACGTGTTTCAGGGTTTTTGATTTTAACATTTTGAGGGGGGAAACGGGGGGTAAAAATTTGCATTTGAAAATCGATTTTTTAAAGGTAGGAACTTGAAAATTTAAATTGTAGCTACTCATAATAAATAAATAATGATGTGTTTCAGGGTTTTTGGATTTTCATATTATAAACGGAGATGAAGGTGGGAGAACGAGGGTGAAAGTTTGTATGGGAGTATCGACTTTTTAAAGGTAGCAAAACTGGAATCATAGATACTCATCTTAAATAAATAATTACGTGTTTCAGGATTTTTGGATTTTCATATTTTGAAGGGAGAAACGGGAGGGAGTCAAAGTTTGTATGGGATCATTGGTTTTTTAAAAGTAGGTCCTTGGAAATTGATATTGTAGTTACTCATAAATAAATATTGACGTATTTCTGAGTTTTGAGGGTTGGTAAACGGGGAATTAAAATTTGTAATGGAAAATAAATAAAAATAAATAAAAATAAATAGAAATAAATATAAATAAATAAAAATAAATAAAAATAAATAAAAATAAATAGAAATAAATAAAAATAAATAAAAATAAATAAAAATAAATAAATATAAATAAAAATAAATAAAAATAAATAAAAATAAATAAAAATAAATAAAAATTAATAAAAATCAATAAAAATCAATAAAAATAAATAAAAATAAATAAAAATAAATAAAAATAAATAAAAATAAATAAAAATAAATAAAAATAAATAAAAAATAAATAAAAATAAATAGAAATAAATAAAAATAAATAAAAATTAATTAAAATTAAATAATAATAAATAAAAATAAATAAATGAATAGTGGAAATAATTAAATACAAATAAGTGAAACTTACGAAAAATGAAATTTCTCTATGTCCCGAAACCCCGAATGTCTAAGGGAGGACTGTCTTTCTCAATGACAGTTTTATGTGACCTGTTAGAGAGTCAGTTCTACATGCAATCTGATGATATTAGCAGATAAGAGCCAAACCGAAAATGTGGTATAAAAAGAGATTCTTAATTAGAATAATATTGTTAAATATTAGTTTGAGTCTAATTCTAATTACGGGGATTTATATCATATGCAAAATATACCAACCCGTTTACTGCGCAGACCACCCGGCGCTTGGGTGCTCTGAAGTCCGTTTTACAATAAACAAATTGTATTAAAATGTAAAGCACACTGAATAATTTAATAACATCTCGCTCAGTAACACAAAGAAGTATTATTTCAACAATTTTAATTTATATATTAAACCAAATTAAAAAATCATGCGTTCACTTAGTTGTTTGTACAATGTTAACCTGTCTTTATGTCCGCTACATGCCTACTGGCTCCCCCCGTGTAACCGCTGCCACGGTGACGCGCGCTCTGTCAACAAAAAGTAAACAAAAAAACAATATGGTTATGGTTGCCGCCGACGAAAACATGTGAGAGAGTTTTTATATTTATTTTAGTTTTAGATATAAGTTATTTAGGATTATTTAAAATTAAGTAAAGGTATTTTGATGCTTTAACCAGGAAAAATTCATTATAAATACATAATTTTCAAATCAAAGAAAGAATGGTGCCACATTTTAAACATTCCATGTGAAACCAATCATGAAATATAAGATAATTTTGATACGAAGTCGATTACAAACACAAATTGTTCAAGACTAAGACTGCTAAGATTTGCTTGCCTTTAGTACCCTCAAAACCAGATATAACAAAGATAATAATACTTAGTAATGTTGTTATTAAACCTCCAGAGTACCTGTAATATATTCTAATAATATAGATCAAAATTTCAAAGACGGTCAGTCATCAATTGAATTTGAATCTTACATAAGGAACAACGTTTCAATAATGGATTTAATAGAAAACAGAAAAGTAAAATTTGCAAATTAAAAAATGCCCTATAATTAATTCTTAATGTGACGTTTAAACTGCAGTCAAAATTTCAGAATCAAAGATATTTCAACAATTTAATTCAAAACTATTATAATGTAGGTTTGTTCAGGTTTCTTTAAAACTCGATGCAAACTGTCCGAGAACCAGTGAAACAGTTTAATTCCAAATTATTTGTCGGATACAACTATTAAACTGTCCACTGGTCAACTAGCCTTCTGATAGTTTTCAATGTATTTTTGAAGAACCCAGACAGATCTAGTATGAGAGCTGTGGCAATATTTTAAGACCAAAAAGGTCAGTCACTATTAGTGCCGCTCTTATTTTGATATCTGAGCATGCGCAGATCACTTATATTCTAGAACTGAATTTAATGGGGATTGTCTCTGTCCTTTAATGTGGATGTTTAAGGACATCAGATACTGGCGACTTTATAGTTTTCGGGTGCGCTCGCCAATATTCGTATCAGTTCGTAATTTTTTTAATATTAAATATATAAAATTCAAAAAGAAATATATAGTTGTTTGCAGAAAAATTACTCTACTTTGAGAAAGAAAAAACTTTAGAACCCAGCAAAAACACTGTCTAATAATAAATATTGTACTTCAGGAGTACTAAGCGAGATATATGTATCGTGCAAAAAGAAGAGTATTTTTAAGAGAAGTTATTTGTTATTGACACTAGATAACGTTGAAAAGTTAAATAGTGTAACCTACCGCACCCAGGTACCTTAATAATTTATTAATTCCATTTATTAAATACAATATTACATTCTTTTAAATTCAAAATGCTTCATTTAACGAAAAATCTCCCAGATAATTAAATCTTATTTACGACACCTAATAAATAATATCTATAACCACGTCCGTAAAAGATGCACGTGGCTGAGTTCCTCGAGAAAGAAAACACCATAAAGTGTATTTCTGTTTACGAAATAATTATCATTAAAACACTTAAGTCGCTTATTTTCCTAGTTTCGATGTTCAGACCGATATCGACAATATTTCGATACACAAAACTTTCAAGGCAAGTAATAAATAACCCACCCCCTTTTGCACCTACATTCGTATTTTCTATGAGAAGCAAAACGATAGAGACGTCACAGAAACGATTAAACTGTGTATAAAAAGTCTGACGAAAATGAGCTCGGATTCATTCAATTTTTATCATTTGATGTGCAAGCATACATTTTATTATCTGTACCCAGTTATATAATCTGTACCTTTCCTAAACGCTCCTCCTAAACGACGTCTATCCTACAATACCTCCTATCCCCGATGGTGTCAACGTCTCGACGCTCAACTTCCTGCCATCCTACTCCCTACGTCTCGAACGCTGTCACATTCCTCACCATCTAAGTATTTCCTACCGTACACTAATTTCGACGCTCAACGTCCCACGCCTTATTTCCGACGCTTTGCCGTCCATAATTATTTCCTTCATAATATCACGTCCCGCATCACCTACTTAATTCTACCGTATATCTGTCCCAATACAGTACCGTATTAAATACCTTCCCTTCCATCACGACGCTAGACGTCTCGACGATGGACGCCTCGACGCCCAACCCTGCGACGTACCTACATCGACGCCTTCCACGACGCTAGATGAAATTAGTACATAATTTAATGTCTGTATTTTCAATGGTGAGTCAAAAGATTTAGTAACCTTCTTTGAGATACCACCCCGGTTTCGTTTAAGGGCGGTTTGACATTTGCTGTAAAATATTATCAATTTAACCAATAAACCACATGGCCTTCAGGTCATACACCCCGAAAGATAGGATAACATCTGTTTTGGATGGGTGAAATTTGGAATATTTTAATAGAAATAATAAAAATCAATATTAAGAAATATACAGGGTTATATTAAGTTATTTCAATAGAAATTATAATAATCAATATTAAAATACATACAGGGTTGTATTAAGTCATATCAATAGAAATTATAAAGATCAATATTTTGGAAATATACAGGGTTGTGCTATCTTGGATAAATTGTACAAACCAAGATGGTAAAATTTAATAGTAAGTTAACCAACTGGCGAATACGCTGTTCGTTAACTCAAGGGGGGACACCTATACGCTAAGCAACCCGTTCTACAAGGTTTGAAACAAAGTATATGTGAAATCAACATAGTAAGGTAATCAACTGGCGAATTGGCGCTGTTTGTTACTTCCGTTGGTCATCACCTCTATACTCATCGTAATATTTACCTAAGAGGGTGCAACCTGTATATATCTACAATAGAATCAAATCAACATCAACTCAATAGTTAATCAACTGGCGAATTGGCGCTGTTTGTTAACTCTTTGGTCATCAACCTAAATAAGAATATAAACAACAACACTATAGTTAATCAACTGGCGAATTGACGCTGTTCGTTAACTCTGTTGGTCATCAACCTAAATAGAATATGTATTGATAGCAAATGAATATGGTCTGCGTTTAAACGGGACTCAAGTGAGATCTCAGTAAAAAGTAACAATTGTAATATACTTTGCTAATTATTGCATCACATTTAAAGTATGAAAAAT